TAAGTAACATTTCTGAACTTAATTATTTTCAAAAAGGATATGAATATAACGAACAGTATTCAATATCACAGTCGATAAAACAATACAAAATAGGAGCAGAGCAAACACGGACCTCCGAAACATCAGAGGTGGGATCAGGTGCCATGGAGGAGTGAGCATCCCCTGCCAACCGGTCACACCCGCCGTGTGCTCCTTGTCATGATCAGGTAATAACGAAAAAAATCCGTTGTCAAATCAGTGTATAAATAATGGACTAACAATTAGTATGAAAAATGTCAGTCAGCATTTGACTCAATGATAAATTATTTTTGCTGACAAGGTCATTGTATCGACCGTAAAACTTTCGAAATGATGACTTTAAACGAGTCTGCTGATATTCTTGTTTAATCAACTTGCTTGTCAGTAATTTACCTCGTTTTAGAAATTGTTCATACGTAGAACAAGCTCTTGCGTATCGAATCAACTGGGATATCTATACTCCGTATGCAGGTGATGAAGGCATATTGCTGCATAAGTAGGGGAAGTTGACTATAGAAAAGTCAAAGTCATCACGTTCATCATATAGCTTGGTTGTTAGATTGCCATTAACGTCATTTTTTAAAGTAAAATATCCAAGTATGAAAAAGATGTGTCAGACTCTGTGATATCTTTTATCTCAAGCTCATTAGGATATATCGTATTGACGTAGGAATGGAAATTACCATTGTTAATAGACAATACGTCGTCGAGATATCTAAAAGTCGAGTTGAAGGCCACAGCAAGTGTTTTCTTCTTTTCCCGCAGAAGATTGTGCACAAATTCTGCTTCATATGAATATAAAATAGGTCTGCTAATATCGGAGCGCAATTGGTACCCACGGGAATTCCAATAGATTGGTGGAATACCTGGTCTCTAAACTCTACATAGATATTGTCAAACAGATACTCAAGCATCTTCAGAGTACTTGTGTGTGCAATCAGAATGTGTTTTAACAAAATAATTTTGCAATGACCGATTACCAGATAAGTAAGTTTACGATTTTTATCAAAAAAGCAGCTGTCGATGATATCAAAAAGCCTGGACTTTAATTCATCGTGGGGAATGGTTGTGTACAAAGTTGAATAGTCATAAGTTAGTGCTATTTAATTCTACGGAAAAGGTCACAAACATTCTTCTATGACTTTATGTGAACTCGCATATTAAGTATTTTAAATATATGATAAGTAGAATACTACAGACTATACCGTGTACCATATGTCACATCAACCCTCAGGCAATCAGCCCTACGGCTTATATAGGACAACTCGGGCTGATATGTACGAAAGCCCAGAAGGCTCATTCGAGATTCAAGTTTCGAAATACGAGATTCAAAATTCGAGATTCGAAATTCGAGTTTCGAGATTCAAGATCCAGATTAACCAATCAAAAGGCTCATTCGAGATTCGAGGTTGGAAATACGAGATTCGAAATTCGAGTTTCGAGATTCAAAATCCAGATTAACCAATCAAATGCGGGTTCAACATTTGATTACTCCCCTTTATTATGTTTTATCTATCAAGAAATCGTTTAATATATTTATAACAAATGAGTCATTTGATTAAATTACAATGCAAGAAAGAGTGTTATATATATTAGAAGGAAAGTTAAATAATCATTGGATTTTTTTTATCAGCAAGGTATACTTCAATTTATATTATGACTTCTTAAATATTAAATAGAATACATATATCAGAAATATATATATTTTTGCATTGTCTACTTTTTATAAAGGGTTGTTGAAATAATAATAAATTTATAAATAGTGACTAAAGATTAACAAAATCCCCACCCCTACCCGCCACACCTGCCAATTTTTCCCGAAACTGAAAATGCAATGTAGCCTTGATAAATAAAAACTGAGTATATTTTAATCTTTGACCATAACGCTATGGTCATGCAGAGACTTAAATATAAAACCATAACGCTATAGTTCTGCAGGTAATGTAGACTAATCTACTGTTTGATATCAGATAAAATGAATGCTGCATTTATTCCTATTCATATTTGCAATCTGTATTGTATATATATAATTGTTAATTAATTCAAGAAATCAACGCCTTCGATGAAGATAAGTAATTGAAAACTTTATTTTTAGCCGGGCTTATTGCTCAAAGAGCAATTGCCGGCTTATGTGATCCTGTTCAAGGCAGGATGTTGACCCCATAGTCGCCATTTTAAAGTTACGTGCAAAAATATAGTTCTTACTCTCAACCGCTTTTGAGATAATACAAACGCTAAAGAAAGCAACAAAAATAAAACGAAGTTTTATCTATATAAAATAAACATTTGTAGTAATGACTTTGAAAACTTCATAAGTCAAAGAACATATAGTTCATTAGCGTAAGGATTTTTGATAATCAGTGTTACTGTAGTTCTCTACACATACGAGGTAAAGCAGGAGAGGGAACCAGACTGGCCTGTTTGTTTACATTCAGCTGCGGTACCAGATTAATTCTGATTCTGACAAAATCAGACCGTGGTATTAGGATTTAAAAACTCACTGTCAGTGTCTTATCATTTATATTGATAGTTTTAAAATAATTTTTTCATCAGAATATAAACGTGATTCATGTAAGAAATCCATTCTACTCTGTAAATGAGCCCGGCTCTCTGTACTTCTGAGTACTTTGATTATGTACTGAGTATTCCCTCTATTAGGAAAACGAACACGGTTTTTATTTATCAAGGCTATATTGCCTTTCAAGTTTTTAAAGTAACATTTTCAGTTTCGGGAAAAATTGGCAGGTGTGGCGGGTAGGGGTGAGGACTTTGTCAATCTTTAGTCACTATTTATAAATTTATTATTATATTAACAACCCTTTATATAAAGTAGACAATGCAAAAAAATATATATATTCCTGACATATGTATTCTATTTAATATTTAAGAAGTCATAATATAAATTGAAGTATATCTTGTTGATAAAAAATCCAATGATTATTAAACTTTCCTTCTAATATATATAACACTCTTTCTTGCATTGTAATTTAATCAAATGACTCATTTGTTATAAATATATTAAACGATTTCTTGATAGATAAAACATAATAAAGGGGAGTAATCAAATGTTGAACCCGCATTTGATTGGTTAATCTGGATTTTGAATCTCGAAACTCGAATTTCGAATCTCGTATTTCCAACCTCGAATCTCGAATGAGCCTTTTGATTGGTTAATCTGGATCTTGAATCTCGAAACTCGAATTTCGAATCTCGAAATTTGAATCTCGTATTTCGAAACTTGAATCTCGAATGAGCCTTCTGGGCTTTCGTAGATATGACATGTGATATAGATTTTATTATGTAATATTCTATATATATATATATATATTGCCTTATATGTAACACTGCAGAAATATTTTATAGGAGTGGTTCAGATGACAGATCTAATTTTATATTATTCACTCGTCCTGAATACATAGTTTAATCTTTATCATTGATAAAGATCTACTATAAAAAAAATCTCAGTAAAATCGATTACCAATATACTTATATGTTATTATCACAAAAGAGTATATCGTCTATTACGTAAAAGATAATTATTACAATAAAGCTCACAACTTTATAAATGAAAACTACTATGTTATTATGTAGAAATCCGTGAAAAAGAATTTGAAAGACTTTCGATTATATCAAATTACCATCATAATTGCGTAAAGTAGTTTTACGGCAATAAGTTACACGTTTTGGACTATCACATTTACTTACAGTTTTTTTCTATTTTTAGAAAAATCACAAATTTTTGTTTTCCCCCAGAGAAATACTTACTTCCATATCGCAGATATAGTTCCATGTATGCTATATTAAACTTCCTGTTTAACCACACTTTCCACCAAACTGATTTATAAGTGTTGGTATCGTAGGCAGCAATAGCACATGTAGGAAGGTAGGTCTGACTTGTATTACCATCCACCGCCTTGTCAGCTGTCCAGGTACTTATATGAGGAGCAACATTCCATGAGGCATTTCCCTGTAGGTTTTGTAAAGGTACATGCGCCAGATTGACTGCAAATTGTCATTGGCAATAGATTTATTAATTTACCATATTTTACCTAGGTTTATAAAAAATGAAATATTATGTACAGTACCGACCAGACCCAATCTTGACACAAAGCAGTCCCAAAGCAGTCTCGAGGACTGCTCTCTTGAACTGCTAAAGCAGACCTACAGCAGTCCTAGGACAGTTCCAGAGCAGTCCCACAGCAATCCCAGCAGTCCCAGAGAGCGGTCCCAGTTCATTAATTTAATGGGCTCAGAAATGAGATTTTAGAATAAACAATGGAACTATAAAAGGCAGTTGAAATTGATTCTGAGTCGTACATTAATAAATTGTTAGGTTTTATTTGAGGGTTGCATTGACTTATCTTTTTCAGCGATGTACTTGCAAAACGTGTAGCTTTTTGAATTACAAAATCTTATATCTAACTGAAATGATTTTTTTTTCAAATAGTGCCAATGCAAATTTTGAGCACAAAATTATACATTAAATAATAGAATAAGCCTACACGTATATATTTTTTCCTCTTAAACCAGTAGTTTATGTTTAGGGATAAAAATATTCTCCTGACTTCCTTATTTAACTACTAAATATTTTTTAATTTATTCTAAACTGCATTTGTGTAAATACTGGTATACAGTCCATTGAAATATTAAATAACTGTAATAATCTCTACTTGTTAAAAAGATTGTGACAAACTCTTGCATTTTTCATAGTTTAAACTCATCTCTGCTGCAAGTAAACTAAACAACATGGAGCTTGCAAATTCAGAATACATGTTACACAGAACGTTTTTCACACATCAGTGAACAAAGCAGTCCCAGGGACAGCTGGGACTGCTTTCTAGAACAGTTCCTGAGCAGTCATATGCATAGAGGTCCCAGAGCAGCCCAACAGCGGTCCCAAACAGTCCCGGGGACTACTTTTTGTGACTGCTTTGGTGTCAGATTGAGTCTGCTCAGTACTGTATTTAGAAAAATAAACTTACCAAAACTTGATACCTTTCCTACAGAGTATATCAGAAAATTCACCAAGATCACTTCCAACCGCATATCTGTACGTTTTATCTGTTTGACGTAATTTATCTTCCTGTTTGACTGCATGAGGTGCACCTGTATACCCTTCGCAGTCATAAATTGTTAAAAGATATTTCTTTTGCAAATAGCTGAAGCTGTTAACAATGTAGGCGCTATATTTATATTGATATGTTATAAAAGAGTAGACTTTGATCTTTTCGACGTATTTAAATCTTGCTTTCATTTTTTAATGGTCTGGGAAAATAAGGGTATTTGTTGATATTTTATTTCGTTTTTAAAACAATCAAGTAAAAGCATGGGGTAGAACATTACATGTCAAAACTCATGCACGACTGTAATAATCAATTAAGAACAATTTAAATGTTTAAATCATATTAAAAGTATTGACAATTTCAAAAGGACGTGGAAGATAAAATGCTCTCTTCTCAATACCAACTTAAAATCAAGGACAAGACGGCCAAAAAAGTATTCACGTTCAAATACATGTTTGATGCTATAAAATTTATTATTATCCAAAGTTAAGATAAACTGAAACCAACCTAATCAATATCAAATAAAATTCATACTTTATATACTACATGCATATATCTTGTCATGTATTTTTTGTCGGGGCTGTAGAAAGCATTGAGGGGGAATCGGAGAGAATATACCTCCCCACCCCCCACCCCGAAAAAAAATTACTTACTAAAAAACTATATACAGTATAACATAAAAAATAATGTCTACTTCATGCTCGAGTCCTTCTAAATCATGTTAAGAATAACACCTGTTATTTTATATGGAAATGTGCCGTCTTGTAATCCGGAATTTTTTCTTTCGGTACGTCTTGGGATTTTTTTTTTTTTTGTACTTGTTATTTCCGTGCGTGTTGAACGAGATTTTTTCTGTCACTCGTCGCCTTACTCAGTACATGAACAGTCATACTGTTGTTACAGTTGTTTTCTCTGCCCACAATGTAAGTATTTCATATGTTCAACTTCTTACAGTTATTTGTATTATGCTTGTCATTTTTCGGCCAAGTATTTCTATCTAAAGTGTGTGAATTTACTGTTAGATTTTACCGGGAAGTTTGAGTGGCTAAATTTGTCATGTTTTGTCAATGTATGCAGATATTTGTAAAATAATGCTAATTTTACACACACATATATCTCAGTATTGTGTCATATTTATTGAGAAAAGGTATTTTTCAGATTTTTCATTAATTTTCTTAACTTAATGCATTGTACATCACTCTTATTATTGTTTTTGTCTATTGTAGCTTTTCACCGTTTCATTTCGTTTGTTGTTCCTACGTATCTCCTATGTATCATCACATGAATACTGGAGTCTCAGTAAAAGATAAAAACGGTTAAATAGCTGTATTTAATAATGGAGGCAGCATAGGAAATATTTCGACTTTGTCATGATAGTGACACCTTCATTATACCCGCACTTTCTAAAGACAGTTCGGGTACGAGGGTCGTTCAAAAATTACGCGGACTTGTTGCACACAAAAAAATATTTGACGACATAATCGGGCAAAATGTCACACATAATATAAAAGAATCTTTACTTATATGGTCTTTCATATCATAATGTTGTAAATTGGTATCAATTTTGAGTGATTTTTTAGGACATATCATGAAGTCTCGGAGCAGCAAAATCTTAGACGTCACGGGCATTATAAAAAAAATATGTGATAACATTGAGCTTTCATATTCTCAACATTTTCACAAGAGTACATGTACAGTTTGAGTTACCTTATCTACTCAACACCCAAACACCATTTTTTTTTCAAGCTTAAAATTTAGTAAACAAGTGAAGATTATTCTTTTTTGTTTTAAAACCAAACCTGCAGATATTTATGAGACATAGTGTGATGTTAATGGCTCTCAATCACGTTCTTTACAGTCGTCCGGATAAAAGTTTTCGTCGATAATCTTCTTCCCGTCCTCTCGTGTAGCCTTTTTACAAAGGTCTTAAATTTCAACTTGCTATTTCTGGGCGAATGTCACGAATTCCCTAGTTTACTACATGTTTTATCATGCGTATTTTGGATCTATATTGGCGACATCTTGAGCATTGCACATAATTTAACAAAAGTGTGGTGCGCCGTCAATTCAATAGACGTCATTTTAACAGTCTTTTTACAGGAATCGCAGCAGAGAAAAATCATTATATTTCTTATATAGTACTTCAAATATCACATCAGAAATCAAAATACATAATAATAGAAAAATTTAAAGATTGCAACAAACTAAATTTAATCTGTTAAGATACCTAATATGTGAATGTAAATATTGTTCTTTATCCTGTGGGGAACCCTTTGATTTGTAATTTTATCTACCTGGGAGCTGTTCGGGTAGTACCCGAGAAGTCACAGCCGAGTTAAAGCTGAACACTACTCGTGAATAGGAATAGTCCGCCATATTTCCCGTTCTTCAACGCTCTCCCTACAACCCGTTTATAAGGAGCAGATCGCTAATCAGTTCAATGTATTTCACTGTAGAGATCCGACGAGTGTAGACGTACATCTTACAATATGTGCTACTCAATCTTTTACGTATTTTTTCCCAAACAGAACAAAAGTTTCACGAAAAATACAGGTCAATACATTATTTACAAACAGAAAAAGCACATAAAAACAAGAAATAAACGCAAAATATCTAAGACCACGAAAGGAGTACTACATATCAGCCACGAGTTTCGAGTGTGCAATCGGGTGTAACGAAATCAAACGGTTTATATACCTGTCTGCTGTGCCTATTTATGAGAAGTGTTCAGCTTTAAGACCTGTTTAGCTTGTTGTGTTGAAGTAGCCGGGGCGGGTACTCAAACTACATCAGGTATTTGAAAATACAATTTGTAAAATATGTTTTCTTGTTTGAATCTACACGTTTAGTATGGTTGTTTTATTATATTTTTCCCCAGGGTCCTATTTCCTATGGCTTTTGTCCCGTTTCGTAATTATCAGGTCTTGGGCGGGTCTTCAGTTTATTACATTGACAATAGCCAGTCCAGGGTGAGAGGGAGATGCTTGTATTGGTTTATGCAGTTACAACTGCAAATGTGTGAGAGAGTACGACAGAGTACGGCAGCCCTGACGGACACCGGACGGACCAGCAATTTCAAGTTATGTGGTGATATTGAATTCAGAATTCACCTTTCTGAAAATTTATCAATTCAAGCCAAAGTTAATGCAGACAGCATTGTGAAAGTTTAAAAACATCAAATATGTGATAATTGCGAAAATTATTTTCAATTTAATTTGTGAAAGAAAAACACGTTTACCAGGGGAAATTCAAAACCGGAACTCAACTCTTCTGCAAGGGTGTTGTGATTCATTCACTTCTTTTTAAAGGACACTATCGGAGACGTGCAGCTCAGATAGACAATTTATTTCAATTTTTTTGAATTTGTTTTTGGTGTAAAAATTTACTTTTGTTTTGTTAATTAAATTTTGTTAAAATTCCATTTGTTTTGTTTTCTTCATTTATTCAAGTTCTGAAAGTGTATAACCCACATCTCAACAAAGATACATTTGAGAAAAATGTAGAAAGATATAGCGAATTATAGAAAATTAATGGGTAAAATTTTGGATTCCGCGTGCTTTTGCTTCAAATTCCTTGTCGTGCTCCGTATACGTACCTCTCCATCAGCGATATCAACATACCGATGACTTTAGTAGAATTTTTATGAAAATACAGATATTTTACCCAACATTTATTGGAATCTTTAACATACATATTTCTGTGAAATTTCATAACTATTTGACTCCTCCTACATTTTACACAGTAGCCTAATCATCTTTAGGGAGACGGTTGGTGGTATCATGCTGATGTGCAGTAAAAATTCGAAATTTTCATTTTGCCCCAGGGAGTCAAATGGGGGTCAAAATTGACGTTTTGTATGCGAAAAACACCGTCTTCCCTTAACTCCTCCTACATTTTACACAGTAGCCTAATCATCTTTTAAGAGAGTTAAATATTTGGAGAATTAGGTAAAAAAAAAAATCAACGTCAATGCGATGCTAAACAACGAATTATAGTTCCAGTCACATATGCCTGTTCTGCATTGCCAAAACATGAAAAACCTCATCACTTAGTTAACACAGCTGATAAACCCACTCACCGGCGCATTTTGCATTTAGAAAGAGGTACTCCTATATATATCTGACGGATATTAATGTCAGTGACCTGTACGAATTGGCTTTCATTGTTCTAAATCAAACTTCGCACGTTTAAACGAGCGTCATAATATTTACCATAAAAAGCAAAGTAATAAACATATTTTTCAAAATTGAAGAGTTCTAAATTTCTGATTGGTTGACTAACAAAGACTAAAAACAACAAATTAGCATATTTTACGGCGATATTTCAGCTACTTTGCCCACGGGTGATAAGTAAAGACGAGATCACCCGTGGGTTCCCGACGATGGAAAATAGTTAATCAAGGTGTTTTGAGTAGCAAAATGAAGCTGTAGTATTTTGTGTAAATTATAGAATTATTTTGACTTTTTCCTTAGAAAGCCCAATATGTAGGAGTGTGTATTTAGAGGCAAACATCTTAGTGCGGGTATTCCTGTCTCGTGACAGCATCTAGATATTTTTATACACGTTTTACATGCTTAAATTTTACCAAAAGAATGCTAATATAATCTTTTTGTCATTTCCTTTTTTTTTCTTGCTACTCAAATATCCACAAGTAGCGCAGAATTTTAAAAGTCCTGTAGGTAGATACTTCAAATGCATCAAAAAAACTTTCGTCAATCAATCTGAGAAGGATCGCCTAACACCTTCATGCTATGTGCTAGACATGATTAATGGTTGATGCATTGGGTACATTGTAGTTATCAAAAATTGCAATTTATAATTTGATAATAATGACATCAGGCCATGTGATTTGGCTTATTTAGATGTTTAGCATGTTTTGTTAATAGTTATGTTTTTTATAATGACATGAAGTTTCTAAGGTTGAGTTACCTCGAAATTTCTAATGAAGGGGCCTAGACACAGTTTCAGCCAAAAATTTTCATA